GTCCGAGCTGTGGGTTTGCGCTCTGCGGCCTGCCATCACTGGATGGAACCCATTGGGCCTAACCCAAAATTTTTATAAAGTGTCTTTGCTTCCTCTACTCCAGCAAGAAGACCAGAAGCTGGCAAAACCTGATCAGCGTTCCTTTCAAATTTGAAATCGGCATCTCGCTTCTTCGGTTGTACCAGCAACACCACACCACACCACACCACACCAGGCCATGGCTATGGCTCTGGACCCCGAAACCGACCTGTCGTTTCCCTACTGGACCTCCGTTCGCCGACGTTTCGGTCCCGACTCTTCTTTCTTTGCCAGCGGAAACTTCGAGAGAGAACTTCTCGCCAAACAGGTTTTTTCTTTTTAATTTCCTTTTTCAATTAATTTTAGATGATGCCGACTTCGAGTTGATTTAATTTCCCCGCGAATAATCTGTTTTTGGATCTTGAATTTTTCTTGGTTTGGATGCAATGAAATGGATATTGTAATATAATTTTTATCAGTTTGAAATCATGAATTTCAGTAATTAGTGTAAGTATGAATATTCTAGAGACTTTTCTTATATTCCATCCCTTGTCTCATGTAATGTACAGGTTGCCTTAGATTTAACAGAAGATGAAAAGCATCAGCTTCAGAAGATGGTAGACCAGGATACCAGGTTTTACTTTGTACCTACCTGCTATCGTTAAACTGTTATATCCTTTTTGTTTGAATTTTTTTGGACCTGGTTTGCAAATTGCAATGTTATCATGTAATTACATGTTTCAGTTCAAGAAAAGGGGCTGGCTGCTTGGTTTATTTTTGTCATTCAAGTTCATTATCTATCAGGTTTCATTTTGTCTATGCCTCATCTGCGGGTAGAATCATAATTGTCTCTGTTCGATCTAATGTCATAAGTATTGGCTGTCCAAGATGTTGATTTTTGTGCCATGTATATTCAAGGTATATTATAGTTTAATATACTAGGTATTGACATGTTTCAACATAGACAAGATAAAAAAGAGAGAAAGAAATTGAAGTGAGATGTTTTGCACTTTAAAGTTCCATATGGTTCTTAATTCTGGAAACTGATGCTTGAGCAGGGAGGTATTCTGTCCAATTGCCGGTTGTGGTGCACGATTGACTTCATTGGAGGACTTTGAAAATCATTATAATGCACGGCATACTGCATCCTGTTCAGTGTGCTCCAGGGTTTATCCAACATCACGCCTGCTCAGCATACATGTGTCAGAGGTGCATGATTCCTTCTTTCAAGCAAAAGTTGCTCGTGGTTATGCTGTGGTATCTTTTCTCTCATTAACTTTGTATGTTGTTGTTTGGAAAATTCTCTCATTTATTGTTAATTTAGAATTTTCCATTTCTTTATGCGATTTCCTGTCTTGTTCTTTGTTATTAAGCAATTGTGTTTAGTCATATTTTCTGCATGAATTGAGGGATCAAATGTGATTATTAAGGTTATCCAAAAAATCAAAACTTATCTTATCTATTCCTTCATTGGGTATTCTTCTCACACTTTGATCAACAATCCAGAAACCAGCGTTTACCCCACCCTACCCATCGTCACTTGCAATTACAAAAAACCCCAAGTTAGAATGATAAAAAGGAAGGATTGATGGTGAGAGTTAAGTAATTTGGAGGATGCTCAAGACTTATAATATGGTTTGGTGGACCATAACGATACTGATCTGATCTGATGCCAGTATGCTACTTTGTTTATCCATCCATTTTCTTTTTTTATTTTTTAAAATTAATTTTAGTATTAGAAATTTTCTTCAATTCGTTCAATATTCATGGATTTCTTCATTGTGATTTTGTTTAACAAATAATCTCCCTCTATTTGTGGGTAACAGTATGAGTGCCTTGTGGAAGGCTGTGGTTTGAAGTTCAAGAGCTACAAAAGTCGGCAGCAACATCTGGTGGACAAGCACAAATTCCCCACTTCGTTTGAGTTCTTCAAGAAGTCTCGGCCATCCAGGAAACAGAGGCAGAAGCAACATCGTAAACAAGCTCTTCACAGTAAGGATGAACCTTCAAGTATGATGGAAGTTGAAGATGAAACCATCAATGGCCTTGTTTCAGCAGTCTCTAAGCTAAGCACATCTGACTCCTCCCCATCAACTGTCAGCTTTGGTCGTCGCCATAGCCGTGGCTTAACATTTGTCCCACGAGCCATACAGCGTGAGAAAAGGCCAGACTCCACAGCAGAAGAAACAGAGAGATAGCCAGCATCCACCTGGAACTAAATCTGGGGAAGTTTCATATCATTACATCTGGAGGTGATGTGAATTAGATGAAACAAGCTGACAGCTTATTTTGGTTCAAAACCCACGCCTATTTTAGGTAGTCAAGTTTGTTGAGAGCAAAGCTTCGATGTCTCTTTGGTATTGATACCCGAAGATCAATTATCTATATCAGTGTTACATTCTGAATGTCATAATGAATTTGGAGTTTCATTTTCTTTTCCTAATCAACTCATGGTAATTTGATTTTAAAAAATGGGTTCTAAAAGTTGGGGGTGGTAATGTCTTTAAGGAAGGGCGATATTAGCTGTTTAAAAGGTCCAATAGTTTTTTATTATAACCACCTGTTCTTGGGAGGGAGAAATGCTAACCCTGGGACTCGGAACTCCTGCCCTCACCAGTGGGCAGGGGCTGATCTCCACTAAGGTAAGTGTTTAATCAAACATTTCTCCACAGGACACTAGCCCTGAATAGATAAAGACACAAGAAACGAGGGATGCTGGTTCGTAGCCTACAGAAAATGTGTTGAATAATAACATGGTGCTTTGAATCCCAGAAAACCAAGTTCAATAAGAAAGGTAGAAATTGCAAACACCTTGACTTCAATCAACACTCCGAACAAATCCTTCACCGAGGAATGATACCCCCGGACTAAAGATTAGATAGCAAAAAACAAAACCCCCGATAAGAAAATGTGTTCATGGTATCTCAAGAAACTCAGGCGTAGAGCATGCTCGTTTCTACCTTCTGGCAAAATCTTATCATATAACTCGATACAACATACAAACCCCAACAACATGATACGTGTAACAGACTTTCTGGATCTCTTGATCAACTGCGGAATTTTCCGTAGAAGTTGGCATAGCCAATCTTTGCCCGGTACACAAGAATCAAGCTTAAGACAACCGCAACAATGCAGAAGCCTGACATAATCATAGAAGCCAGGAAAAAGTATACGAAGCCTTCACACTTAAGTGGATCGTCCTCAGCAAACTTCCCTGAGCAAAGTGCCCCTGAATTCTATGCATTGAGATGAGGTTGATGAGCTTGCTTCTCAGCTTCATGGTCATAAATACTGTTGGCAATTAGGCCTGAGAAGACAACGGAACCTGCGGGATTTGCCAGTGTGAGAAAGTTGTACAGGGCCCCAAATTTTTTCAAGCCGAAGACTCAGAGGCAGCAGCTGGCACAATTGCCCAATCAGCACCATAACCAAGCCCAATCAAAAGAGTCCCAATATACATTTCTCCAGGCCATCTCATAGCAAAGCAGACATGCCCAACAGCAGTATTACTAAAAAGTAAAATGGGTCGTTTAATGGATTACTAAAAATTTTAAATATTCTCAAAAACTTTCATTTAAGAAGATTATTCTTTAAAACTTTTAATATAGAATATTATTCTCAATAACTTCATTTTGAGAATATTCCAATTTTATTTTTAGTATCTTTAAATAAAAA